AAGGAATAATGAGAAGCCACAGCAACGACAGCAAGAGACAGTTGAATAAAAGTAAACGGAAGAAACTGAGTTTCAACCAAAAAAAAAAACAACAAAGCTTTCAATTTCGTATCAAGACATACTCACTGCGTGTGTCAATTTAAAAAAAAAAGCTATGAGTAATCATAATTTTTTTTTTCGCTCAGAGAGCCAGAGAATGTCAGAGGAGCATGCCATAACTGAGTCGGCGCACATTGGCAGTTTCGTAAGTTTCGCCTATCTCTCTGAGTATTTTATTTGTGTATTGGCATGCGTGCGTGTGTGTGTAGTTTATTCTTCTGTTGTGTTTTTTTTTTTTTCTTCTTCTTCTTGCTGAAGAAGTTGATTAACCGTAAACTCTCAAGAACGCTTTCAATTTCATTAGTACCCACAATGTTTGCTTGTTTTTTTTTTCTGTTTGTGTGATTTTTTCAACAACAACAGCAGCAGCAACAACAAGAAGATCACAAAACAGGATCCATTGGCCAATATTATTATGTGTATGGTGCTGTTGGTTCGTATTGTTCTACCTGCTGCCGCTGCTGTTGCTTTTGAAAATCTCCCTCTCTTTGTCTTCCTTTTCGCTGTGCCAATAAATGACTGAAAAATAAATGACTTTTGAAATAATCGAAAGTAGCATGTAGGGGTTACCCTTTTGGGAAAAATAGGATCCAAAACTTTTCACATGGCCTAAAAGTAATGGCTCACCTCCAACGTGCTATAAGTAAAAATATTAAAAAAAATATATCCTGTTCCCGTAACTTTTTAAAGGTAATACAAGAAAAAGAAAAAGAGAGAAATGTTGTATTCGATGTGAGAGAACTGCTTTACGTAGAAAGTATGGGAACTAATAAAAATGTAAAAAAATAGTCGACAATCGTTCAAAATTGAAAATTTCAGACATTTCAGGAGCTGGTAACCATGCTACTATTTTTTTTTTTAGTCGGAGAAATTCGCCTACTAAGAATAGTAAACGAGAATGCCATATTGTGTCCATCCACTTCGGGGAATTCTTATCCACGTTGGTTAAAATCCTATCTACGACTGCCTTTAAGATGCCCTATTTTCGAGGTAAAATATTCTATCCGTGTCGTGAATGACCTATCCACTTCGTCGAATGTCCTATCCAAGTCTTTGGATGTCCCATCCACGTTGGTGGAAGATCTATTCAGGAGAGTAAATGACATGACCACGTCGACGGTAGTCCTATGGCGTATACACGTCGATGAAAGATCCATTACATCGTTAATTTTCGATCTATGCCTTAGGAATCTTTCCACGTTGGTGGAGAGATCGTTGCACGGCCTATCCACGCCACTGCATGTTCGTGAAATGTCGGTGAATGGACCTTTCCTCTTCTCCACGGCTTGAATGGCCTGCCCACGTCGGTAGAAGTCCTATCCACGTCGTGAGTTTTCTATTCATATCGGTGAATGCAAGTCGTGAATGTCCTCTTCACGTCGTTGGATGTCAAATCCGCGACGGAAGTCCTATCCATTTCGGGAATGACCTGTCCACGTCAGTGAATGATTAACTTACGTTGGTGAAAGTCCTATCCGCGGCAGAATTCCTATCTACTTCGTGAATGTTCCGACCCCGTCAGTGAATGATCCATCCACGTAGGTGGAAGTCCTATTCACATCGTGAATGGCCTGTCCACGACGGCGATTTATTAATTCACGTCGGTGGAAGTCCTATCCGCGGCAGAAGTCCTATCTACTTCGTGAATGTCTCGGCCCCGTCAGTGAACGATCCATCCACGTCGGTGGAAGTCCTATCAGTGACAGAAGTCCTATCCGTGACAGAAGTCCCATCCACGTCAGTGGAAGTCCTATCCACATCGTGAATGGCCTATCCACCTCGGTGGAAGTTTTAACCACGTCGTGAATGTCATGTCCACGTCTTGAATGGTCTGTCCACGTTGGTGAATGACTGCTTCACGCCGGTGGAAGTCCTATTCACGCCGTTAATGATCTGTCCACGTCGGTGGAAGTCCTTACCATGTCTTTAATGGCCTTTCCATGTCGGTGAATAATCCATTCACGTCGGTGGAAGTCCGATCGCCGACGTGGAGGAATAAGTTCTATCCACGCCCTGGGAAGTCCTACGTCCTGTACACGTCAGTGAAGTTGTAAATGTCCCACGTCCACGTCAGTGAATGATCCAACCACGACGGTGGAAGTTCTATCCACGTCATGAATGGCCTATCCACTTCGGTGAATAATCGATCCACGTCAGTGGAAGTCCTATCCACGACAGAAGTCCCATCCACGACATAGAAAGTCCTAACCACGTCGATGGAGGGCCTATCCAGTTTTAAATCAGGTCGGTGGAAGTCTTTTTTGAGGCGGCTATTTATCCTATTCACGTCAGGGGCTAGCTTATTGACGAGATTAGATGGCCTATCCGCATTGGCGAAACCAATTTCTGTTAGATATATTTTTCACATTAAGTTTTCTCTATATTAAATCTCACTTAAATTCTCCCTCTCGCTATCTTATCATTTCCGCATGGTGGTTGAGAAATTCTCTCTCTTCACTACAAAATGCTTACATTGGGCGCCACTATCAAATCTGGTGGATTAGCTTCATACGCCGGTGGAAGTCCTTTCCAAGATGGATATTTGTCGTATTCACGTTAGTGTCTAGCCTAATCACGACGGTAGATGACCTATTCGAATTGGCGAATGGATCGCTTGTCTAGATCCATATCTCCATCTTATATTCTCTCTGAAATAACACGTATTTTCTTTCTCTCTCTCTCTCCCTCTTGCCATTGAAGAAGAAGAAATTTGGGAAATTCCCTCTCCCCTACAAAATGCCTACATTGTGCGCCATTATCCCATATCGGATGCAATGTTTCTAGTATCATATCTGGTGGACTGCCTATCATCTTCGTCTGTGGAAGTCCTTTCCAAGACGGCATTGCCGTTTTTACGCAAATGGCTAGCCTGTTCGCGACTGTGGATATCCTATTCACGTGGCTAGATGACCAATTCACATTGGCGAATATATAGCGCTTGTCTAGACCAATCTCTTTTAGACATATTTTCCACCATATGTTCTCTGAAATCAGACGTATTTTCTCTCTCTCCCTCTCTCTCTCTCTCTCTTACCATTGGCACAGGAAGATTGAGAAATTCTCCTCTACAAAATGCCTACATTGGGCGCCATTGTTGTCCTATATCGAATGCAATGTTTCTAGTATCATATCTGGTGGACTGCCTATCTACGTCGTCGGAAGTCCTTTCCCAGGCGACTATTATCGTATTCACGCCAGTGGCTAGCCTATTCACGACTGTGGATATCCTATTCACGTGGCTAGATAACTTACCCGCATTTAAGAATGGATCACTTGTCTAGACCATTTTTTTATATATATCTCCGCCTTATATTCTCTCCCAAATCACATGTAATCTACCTCTCTCTCCCTCTCTTACCATTTGCACAGGAAGATTGAAAAATTATCTCTCCACCACAAAATGCCTACATTGGGCGCCATTGTCCTATTCTTGTATCATATCTCTCTCCCTCTCTTGCCATTAGCGCAGGAATGTTGAGAAACTTTTTCTCCGTTATAAAATGCATACATTGGGCGCCATTGTCCTATATCGGATGCAATGTTTCTAATATCATATCAATCACATGTAATCTCCCTCTCTCTCCCTCTCTTACCATTGGCACAGGAAGATTGAAAAATTATCTCCCCACCACAAAATGCCTATATTGGGCGCCATTGTCCTATTCTTGTATCATATCTCTCTCTCTCTCTCTCTTGCCATTAGCACAGGAATGTTGAGAAATTTTTTCTCCGTTATAAAATGCATACATTGGGCGCCATTGTCCTATATCGGATGCAATGTTTCTAATATCATATCTGGTGGTCGCCTGTTTTCGACGGTGAATATCCTTTTCAAGTGTTTAGATGACCTATTCGCATTATCTAATGGATCTCTTGTCTAGATCAAATTTTTAGATATATCTCCACTTTATGTTCTCTCCCAAATCAAATGAAATATCTCTCTTGCCACTGGCCGTAGGAAAGTTGAGAAGTTCTCTCTCCCCTACAAAATGGCTACATTGGGCGCCATTGTCTCATATCAGCTTCAATGATTCTAATAGCATATCTAACAGCTAAAAAAGAGGGTTAAGAAATATTGACAAAAAACACTTTTTACGATCCTCTTGAACACCTACACAAATTTTCTCTCTGCCCTACAAAATGCCTACATTGGGCGCCATTATCCCATATGGGCTTCAATGATTCTAATATCATATCTAACAGCTAAAAAAAAGGGTTAAGAAATATTGACAAAAAAAAAAAAAAAAAACAATTTTTACGATCCTCTTGAACACCTACACAAACACACACACACTCCAACAAAGCGTGCTTTACTCTCTTCTCCAATGTGGCCACAATAAAAGTGAATGTAGAACGCTTTATTGTCGTCTCGTCTCGTCTTCGTCATTGTTTGTGGCTGCTGGCATGAAGGGTTATTTGTCGAATTGACTAACTGACTGGCTGGCTGGTTGGCTGGCTGGTTGATTGCTTAACTTTTATTTCTTTGTCTGTCTGTATGTTTGTCGGTATGTCTGTATGTAAATGCAAGAGTTGCGCCTGCCAAGCTTGTGAACTGAAAATATAAAAAAGAAACAGTAAACGAGAAAAGAGATGTAAGCCATTTTTAGAAAGTAGTTTTGATCAAGTCGCTGGCGTCGTCGTCGCCGACGTTTTTATTGTGGTAATAATTTCAAAATCCAAGGCCTTTTACTATATAATGACAGGCGAGTGAGTGTCTTTGTGTGTGTGTGTGAAACTCTTTTTTTTTTTTGTTGTATCTTTTGGTCTGTAAATGTATGAGTTTAGCTTGAAAATTAATCTTGGGTTTCTTCACTTATTTGTGCTTTTTTTGTTGTTGTTGTGTGGTATTTCATTGTTGCTTATTTAATGTATTTTTTTTTTTGTTTTTGTTGTTGTTTCAGGTACCGAGAATGTTGATGTTGCAATACAGCAAACATGGCGAATGTATTCTTAAAGAAATTGGAGCCGCATTTCGTGGAGAACACCCCGCGGATCTGACAATTGTCTGCGAGAACAAAGTTAAATTGCATGCTCACAAGCTGGTCTTGGCAGCGGCAAGTCCGTTAATTAGGTAAACACATACAATAAACTGTTGCCAACCACAAGACGACGACGAACTGACACGACGTCTGTCGTTGGCACTTTTGCATTTTTTTAGAAATGTTTTTTTTTTTAATTCTCTGTTTTATCCCCCTCTTCTCTGTTTCGTTTTTTTTTTCATGCCTCGCTTTTGCTTTGTGGTACCCTTTCTCCTCTCGCCGCTCGCGAAGAAATCTTCTGGAAGATACACAGCTTTATGATTGCATGACAACCGTATATTTCCCGGATGTGAATGCAACGTATTTTAAGTTTCTGTTGGATTTCTTGTATTCCGGCCAGACGTGCATAACATCGCGGGATGTCAACTATTTACATGACCTGTTGTTGCTGCTGCAAATTAAATCGGACAATTGGAAGACCACCGATACGACACCAGTTGCAACACCCAATAGTGTGGGGGGTGGAGGTGGTGGCGGGGGAGGAGGCGTTGGCTTAGGTTTGGCTGGTGGTGGCAACTCAACCCCTTCTCACCACATTCCCCACAATCTCAACAGCAATCGCAAACTTTCCGAATCGGACTGTGAGAGCCCCGATTGCGAAAAGAAACTGAAAAGTGAAAATGGCAATGACATCAAAAAGAGCCCACCCTCCTCATGCCACTCGGAAAAGAATGCCGCCTCCGATGAGAATCACCACGACGAAGATGAGGACAATTTGAATATCGACAGTGACAGTACCGCAGATCTAATGAAAACCAAGGACAGCCAAGACATAGACGACAACTTATCCGATGTGAACAGCATAAGTGGTGGTGGTGGTGGTGGCTTAAATCCGGTCAATCTCTCGCTGGGCATACGCACCAAGTCCGAACACAGTATGAAAAATATATTCCGTGGCAAAAGCAGCTATTCTCCACCCGACTATGAAACGCTCAACATTATGGAAAGTGCCAAGCGCAAAACACTGTTCTCGGACTCGGCCAAGGATTGTCTTAAACCCCTCTCCGAACATGGTGATCTGAATAGTTCTCCGGATAATTATGTTGTGACACCGCATCGAAAACGACGACCTGGTTTCCATTCCTCACCCAGCCACAAGCCGTTTGTATCCTATCAACAAAATCTGCTCGATGAATTCCGCTCAGCCAAATCGGCCCTGTCACCCATGTCGGGTTATTTGCCGGATAAAAATATGCTGCTGCCGCTGGATGAGGGTGTTATAAATCCCTCTGATATCCTACCGCAAAATCGTTTGGCCCTGGAGAAGAGTATATCACGACATGACAACAGCCCTGAAAAGACAGTACAACTACCGCCACAGCTGGTCTATCAATGGCAGTCTAGCCATCACAACTCGAATATTTCATCACTATCCCATCTGCAAACGGGTCTCTCTTCCATGGCGGACATTAATTTAAGCTTAGAAGGCTCCAGCAATCAAAACTCCAACAACAACTGTGGCGGCTCGGCGGCCAGTGGAGGCGGTGGCGGCGTCGGCGGTGGAGTTGGTAGCGGCGGTGGCAATTCCCAGAATTCAGTTCGAGAATATCGCTGCGAGTATTGTGGCAAACAGTTTGGCATGTCCTGGAATCTGAAGACCCATCTTCGTGTACACACCGGTGAGAAGCCATTCGCCTGCCGCCTTTGCATAGCTATGTTCAAGCAAAAGGCCCATCTGCTAAAACATTTGTGTTCAGTTCATAGAAATGTCATTACCACCAATGGCAGCGACAATGACACCCGATATTGTTGCTGTTTCTGTTCAATGTATTTCGAATCAGTACAAGAGTTGGTCCGACATTTGTCGGGTCACCACAACAATTTATTGTTAGCAAAAAACTTACGCGATTAGTACTTGATAATAATAATAATAATAACAATAACAATAATCATAATTATATTTTTTGATCCTAAAGAAGAAGAAGAAGAAGAAAAAAGTGAATATTTATATAATTTTATATACATGCATACCATATACACCAACAACAACAACAAAATCAATCAAGCACCCATACCCCCATGCATCTTTTTTCCTCTCTGTCTCTCTTACTCTCTCTCTCTCCCATATGCTGCACAAATCCATATAGGTACCTATATTATATATATATAATTTTTAAATATACAAAAGTAGTGCTCCTCCACCCCCACCCCCTCGTCGTAGCCCTTTTTGGATAAATAACTTAAAATGCAAGTATGTATGTTTGCATCAACAATCTATATATACATATATGTACATATATATCAAAAAAAAAAAAAAACAACAAGAAAACTGTTCAATCCCATCTTAAAAAAAATTCTATATATTCTATATATGTATATATATAATATAAAGCTATGCATTTTGTCGTTGTTAATTTTTAACATTTCCATCTATATTTTTCTACTTTTTTGTATATTTTTTTTTAAATATAAACTTTTACACATTGTCGTATACATGATTTTTTTTTATTATTATTATTATTTTATACATATGTAATATATATATGATTGAATTGTAATACAATTAAATACATTTTTTTTTTAAATTCAAAAACAAAAATACAAAATGATCATTTTACAGTTTTTTTGTTATACACTAAATTTTGTTTTATTTTTTAATAGATTTATTAAAAAATTTGTTTGCTTCTCTAACGGGGGGTTTTTAATTATAAAATTCCCAAAAGATATTCGTGGCGCCCAAATGTTGTTTTCCCTTCACTTGATTTGAAGTTTAAGCCAAAAGACAATGTTCACACTGTACAATATTTGTTGGACAACATTTTAGAGCTTCTGACCACACATCAAATACGAAAAATAAAGAATGATTTTTAGGAGCTATAGGAAAGTTTTTCAAAAAAAATATATAAATAAATAAATAAAAACTCATAAAATGCAAAATAATGCATAAAATAAATATCGTCCATATAATTCAATGCTTAAAGATTATTTTATGCAAATGTTGATCGCGCGATTGCGCTTCAAATGTCCATCAGCTTAGCCCAACTTTGGTCTACGAATAAATAACTCAATGCTGTCTTCCAATGTGTCAATTGAAACGAGTTTGTCTCTAAAGGATGAGATAAAAAAACTGCAACCAACTTCAAACTGCCATCATTTCTAAGCCACTCGTCCGGTGACAGGTCATTATATTGTTTACAAGTGTACAAAAGAATTTTGGTGAGAATTTTCCAGAAAAAAAGTTATTCGTGATGGAATTCAAGCGTGATAGTGTGATTTCTTTATATTTGGCTGGAAAACCACAAGTGGCCATCGCTAGAGCACTCCAGCAGCATTTAAATGTCAATAAATTTTTTGTGTGATACTGGTGGCGTAACGTCACGTCAAGGAAGTGGACGAAAAAAAACAGCAATATCAGCAGAAATGGTTCGAAAAATAAAGAAGCGACGTGATCGAAATTCGCGTCGCGGTGGCCGAAAAATGGCTCGTGAGCTGAACATATCGCAATATTCCATTCGGCAAATATTGAAAAATGAACTAGGGCTAAAGCCATTGAAATTCCAAAAATTGCAAGAACTTACACCGCAACAGAAAGAAAAAAGACTCAAAAGAGCTAAAGAGTTGTTTCGCTTTGCCGAAAGTGGTGAACTGCCGAATTTGGTTTTCTCCGTTGGAAACATTTGTTGTCCAGCAGTTTGTAAACAAACAAAATGATGCAGCCATAACAGCCGATGGTAGCTCTCCGCTCGCATTAATCGACCGTGGCAATAAAATAAATGCCGAATATTATCACGAAAATATTCTGGAGGGTGTATTATAGCCTTGGGCACGCAAACATTTTGACCGCAGACCTTGACATTCCAACAGCGTTACAAAATGAGGTTACTCGCTTCATTTCCAGTGCACAATGGCCACAAAAAATCCGGATACTCGGAGTATTGTGGAAAGCATGGTTGGCACTAAAAAATACCGAAGTGTCGATCCGGAAATGGGCCAAAATTCCGCAGAGGAACATTCGGGCAGCGTGTGACGGTTTCATTGGTCGTTTGAAGACCATAATTCGTGCCAAAGGTGACCAATTCGAAAGAAACTAAACTTATTCTAAAATTTGATGCTATTTCCGACATTATTTGCTTACATTCAATAAAATTAAAAAAAATGTAAACATTATGGCGTTTGACTTTGTTGCAGATTTTTTATCTCACCTTGTATAATGTTGACCGAACATTCGACATGTGTCGAAACCAGAGCACAAACTTTCCCATATTCACAATGGAGCGAAATTTGCTCGATGAGTGAGAGTTTTTCTACTTCGCTCTTTTGTTTTGTGTGAGAGCACGGCCTCCTGTCTGTACAGAAAAATACACATACATAAAAATAGGACAATGTAAGACTAAAAGAGTGCTCGGCAAGAATACAATCTGCTCGATTTTGAACAAATTTTGCTCCCACTCAAAAACGACTTTATTTATTTATTTTTTTTTAATATTTTTTTATCAGGTTGTTTCAAGTTGGAATTAACAGATGAAACCATTGAGCGCCATCTATATTTTCTAACACAAACTGTTGCAATATACATTCTTCAATAGATGCGTGTGTCAAATGTTTAAATGTTGTCAATACAGCCGTATATCAACACTTTTTCCATGACAAGCTCGTTGCAAATCAACATTTATATTATTTTCAAATTATAAATGAATAGCGTAATTTATATCAATACCGATTGAAGTAATTATGTCATTAAGGCATAGACCATTTTAATATAAGTTTTAGTATACATATTTTATTGAGCGCCATCTATATTTGCTACCAAAACTCGCAATATACATATGTAATAGACATACTTCAACAGATGCGTATGGCAACTGCTTGTGGCAATGAAAAAGTCGAAGCCAATAAGCAACATTATTTTCATCTTAAATACAATTGAATTTTAAAATGAAAATAATGTGGCTTATTTGCATCGATTTTGTCATTGAATTAATAGCATAATATATATCAATCACGACAAATGAATTCAACGTAACCTCATTTCAAACAATAAGCCATTAATTATCTGTAATTAACCTTGTCAAATTTTACTTCATTGAAAACACGTTTCCATCTTTCATTTTTGCATATACAATAGATTTATTAAGGTAATTTTTGACAGTGAGATATTGTCAAAAAAATTATTTGAAAAATGGTAACCATATGATTGCTTGAGGTTACTTTCAAAATTATACCATGAGTCTAACATGTCTATTGCTCTGTTTCAAAATCTGCCATAATCCAGTAGTTTGGAATTCTTTATGGTATCATGAAGGAAAATCCTGTTTCGTGGCAACATGATTTTATTTTTTGCAGTTCTGAACAAAGCAAATCTGGCGAACTTTATAAGGATTTATATTACTTTTAAACACAGCTGTTTTTTATTCAAACACTCCAAAGTTGGATGTGACTACGCAAAGGCGTTGCTTCCACTTTGCCAAGGGAGAAAACTTAAGGGTGGAAATACATAAAGCGCATATTTGGCTGGCTTAAGTCATCGGTTGGCTTCTTCGTAGAAGAAAAAAGGAGTTTTAGGTTGACTTAGTTCGATTTTGGCCCTAGACTTCTGTGTTCATTTCCGAAGAAGCCAGCATATTACTTAAGCCAGCCAAATAAGCGCTTTATGAATTTCCACCTTAACATTGTAGATCATGCTAAAGCTGATATCATTGCCATGGCTGCTATCAAACGATAAGGGTTTTACACATGTGCTGCCAAAATTGCTATTTTACATGTGACTCATAATTTTTGCAATCACACACTTGCATACGTTTTTTTATTTCCTTTGGTTAAATTGTGATTAGGTTGTGTTTTCTAAAAAAATATTATGCTTTATGGATGACTTTTTACGACAATTTTAATTGTGTATATTTTCACACTTATTTTTCCGATGAATATAGGGCTCGCTGTGATCGAAAAAGTACGTATGTACTTTACTCATGTATTTCACTACTAAAACGTCGTCCATGTATCACACGATGTGTTCAACTTCTACATATTTAAAATTTGACACTACATATGTAGAACTATTGGTAGAATTAAGAAGGTAAAGTAATGCAATCTTATGTTTACATTTTTTTTTTCAAAATTATCCATGTGACAACATGTCATTGTCAACATTTATATTTATAAAGCCATTGTATACACAGAAATCACAGAAAGGAGCCTTTTTTTCATTCAGTGAAATTTTACAAGGTAAATTAGAGAAAATGCAGAGATGGATAGTCTTATTTTAAATGACTGCACCTTCTTCATATTAGCAAAACCAACACGTTTGTTTTAATTATATTTTTCCGCTGAAAATAGGGATCGCTGTGGTCGAAAAAGTACATATGTACTTTACTCATGTATTTCCATGGTGTGTCGATGCACAACTGTAGGGATAATGAACTGTCAACCCGATTTTGAAATTGAAAATTTTGAATGATAAATTTTTTCTGTTTGTAAAAATTATTAAAAAATGCGTATTATAACAACCTCCGATTCGTTGCATATAAGAAAACATATAAAAATGTAATTCTTTTTTACAAAACATTAAAAAAAAATTTTGACATATCAATTTTCCCAAGCGTTGTTCTACCATGTGTATTTTACAACTAAAACGTCCTCCATGTATCACACGATGTGTGCAAGTTCAATATATTTAAAATTTGACTACACTACATATGTAGAACCCTTATCGTCTGATAGCAGCTTAATACCTTGGGATATTCATTGTTTTTATTATTCTACATCAATCTGAAATGTTCTAATGGTCATCAAAAAATTTCTCTCTTTCTGTTTCAAAAAATTTTCAAAAAAACAAAAATTTCCACAAAACCGTAAAAAATTTAACTACTTGTCCTTTCCTTGTCATTGTGATAAAAACTAGTCTGCTGTCATAAAAACGTCAAAAAGAAATAGTATCGCTATATCACAAAAAACGCCCAGTTGTTATCACTGTTTGTTTCAAAACAATAACAAATTCATTCAATGAAATGTGTGTGTGTGTTTTTTTGTCGGCCTTTGTCGGCTACTGCCACCATATGACTTTAGTCATTTTTTCAAAGCGTTGTGAAACGGGTCGTTCTGTTGAATTCCGTTCGCTCTTCCGTAGGTGCGTGTTATTTTGTTTTTTGAGTGTGTGTGTGTGTGTGTGTGCGTTTGAATGTTTATACATTCTATAGTATTCGCTGGTGTTTCGATACTTTTTCGCTAAGAATTCATTAACAGCGTTTGAAGCATTTAAGAAATTCAACGCAATATCGAAGCATTACTGATGAGTTCTTGTGGATTAAAATAAGAATAATTTGAAAAAATAATCAAATGTATTTTATAAAAAGAGAAAGTGGAAGCAATGCGATTTGATGATGTCATCAATGAAAACAAAAAAGAAAACAATAACAAAACAACATATGGAAACCCTTTGGAAGAAAAAAATCTCAAATGTGAACAAGGCAAAATATCTACAATTTATATCCAAAATTAGATTTAGAAGATGTTTCCAATATC